TTAAGAAAAATATTGAAATATCATTTATAAAAGTTATAAATTATTAATTTTGAAAATTATTTTATGACTTACTTCAGGTTTTGTCTTTTTTTACATAATAATACCACTTTGTTTAAGTTTTTGTTTATGATCATTGACTTCAATGCTAATAAAGTCTTAACATTGAAACTTCATATGTGGATGCACCTTGGTGAGTTTTACTTGTCACACTGATTTTGATGTCAAAAGATTAACTTTTTCAAGGATCAAGTGGGAGATTTTTCTTCAAAAAGAGGGAGATTTTAGAATTTGCAATAAACAAAGAAGGAAGTTCTGACATCAAAAATAAGGAGATTTCTTTAATTTGTAAAAATACCCCTTATATTAAGAAAAATCTTTGAAAATATGGCTGATGAAAGTGGGAGAGTTCACATGTATGTTAAGTCATTGTGAACTAATGTACATGTAGGTCAATTTTCTCAGAAACTGTAAAAGATTTTCAGTTACTTGTTCACTATCATCTTATGATGCAATATCAAAAGGGTAGATAATCCTAAAATTACATTTTGCAAAGTTATGCCCCTTATTTTATTTAGAAAAGAAATAAAATACAAAGACAAAGTGGAAAGGTAATGCTAAATATAATATGAAAATAGGGCCAGGTGAACCAGAGATGAGATTTACTAATTTTTGCTGGATTGACTTTCACTGGCTCGGTGTCATGTAGGCTTTTGTATCTGCCTCTACGCTGACAAAAAGTGTTGTTTTTTTATATATTTATATCTCCATGAATCCTAGTAAATTATACTCTTTAACACATTATGAAACCAAGCTTAAATCAACAAGGATTTAGTGACCAACATTTATCTTAAGCCAGTTTCTACTGATATTCTACTATTAATATCCCTTTTTTGATGGGAAAAAGTCAACAGGCCAGGGCTTGTGTTGATGGGTGGTTTCAGCCCCTTAACTCCCTGTTGGATCTGTGCCTGATTTTGCCAATTGAAGACTTTGACTCGTAGTAAAAACCACAGTCAAATGTTTAATCCCTGCTTAGTGCCAAATACTGAAGTTTTAACATACTAAGCTACTTACTTAGGCACCAAAACATACAAGCAGTACAGAGCAGATCTATGGAAGATAAAAACTATTTTCATTTCCCCCACTTATCCAGGAATATTCTAGATAGGACACTAAAGTAAGTATTGTATTCAGTGATTATAAACTGATTTAGAGTGTATGTTATTTGATGTAGACAACACAACATTAAGAATTTCATTTATTACAGATTCCCAGTACACAAATAATAAACACTCAGTGAGCAAACAAAGTAGAGCTAGCACAGACAGAGAGGATGGCAGGAGGGGTCTTCCATGTAGAGTTTGGTTTCAATGACACAGCATTAACCAGGGCACTTGAGTCGGGAAATTATGTGCAGTCAGAGAGACTCATAAGAGATACAACTAATCCCTCTTCCTTAGATGAAGGTACATTAAAAGTTTATCTGCTTTGTATTTATTTATTCATTGTAAAGGGGGGGGGTTATGATACTGGAATCAGCTTTTTTATCCATCCGGTTATATTTGTTGAGGGCATAACTTCAAAACTATTGAAGATACAAACTAGAAACTTCAGAGATGGATAGATCTCATTTAGAAAAAAGGAACTATTACTCTCTTCTGAATGATTTTGGAGCTTTTTCCTTTTGTAATTTGTTATGCATAATTTTTATAGGCATAATTCCAGAGGTATCAACTTGTCAACTTAGAACTCCATAGATATGTAGGTCTCTTACATGGTGGAGAACTGCTGTGTCCAAAATCCCTTTTGTATGATTTTAGATTATAACTTTAGTGTATCTGTATGTCCATCAGATGTCTTATCATTACATTCCCTCTATCTGCCCACTGATACACTGTTTAAGTTTCAAAATTTGGAAGTCAAAGACTGCAAAATGTCTGACATTGAAAATCACATTATTATAGGTAAAGAACGAAAAGCATTATAATTTGGATTAGTCACAAGCCAATATCAAGGAGTAAATGACTCCCAAACTTCCATTAAGTGAAGTCTGACTGAGTAAAAGCATAACAAATTCAAATTTGGAATTTTAGAGTAACTACTAGACAGCCCTGAACACATATTGACTGAAAAATGCCTTCTATTTAATGGTCTTTGTATTTGTATGTTTTTGTAAAAGTAATTTCAAGGCATACTCTTGTAAAAGAAAATACTTTTTCAAAGAAAATAAACAATACTAAAGCAGATGGATGATTAGGTTATTTATATTTTTTAATTTGGGAAAAATAACCATGTTTTGGCATTATGAATGCCTCCGTTTAAAATTGAAACTTCTCATGAACCTAGCTGTGGATCATCACAAATTTTGCCAAGGGCAAGATTGAATATTTCTTTTGCAATTGTTCACATGAACAATCACATATATAAACTGACCTCTTGTGTTTTAAGATTTATTCTGGTAAGCAACTTGTAGCTTTCTTAGATCTTTCCTGTCATTTTATATGCCTTGTTTTTATGCAAAGTTGAACAAGAATTTATGTTTAAGGTTGTTACCAAAGAACACCATTGTATATCTGTCTTTGTGGCCTTGATGTTGAAGAAACCAGACCAAGACCAAGGAATCTCTATTTAGCAAGATTACTTATAGAAAGGGGAGCCAATGTTAATTACAGGGTACCAACTGTAAGTCACATATACATGTGTATCTAATGTGCTATCTATTTATATTTAATGAGTAGTAGAGCTGCTTGTGATATAGAATAATTCATGTAATAAATATACCCTGATTACAGACTTTTTTTCTTTTAGTTAACCTTTACGTCCCTTACCACACTGTATATATTCTTACCTGAACATGTTCATCTTTCAAGCTGGACATAACCAATCCTCATTTTTAGGGAAAATTGTAAAATGTACGGACTGAAAGGGTAACAATTTAGACCATGATCAGACAGCATAGATGTGGAGGCTTATCTTAGTCTTCACTGGTCACATGGGTAGATTCAGTCATCAGGGTCAACTGCAGATTTCAGTTGTGTGTATAATGTCTTATTTCTATGTTTTCTTTAGTAGTCTCTGTGGCTGAGTGGTTAAAGTCTTTAGGGTCTTTTGGCCCTTACTCATACTGCCATGGGTTAAAATCTATACCGCGACTTTAGATTCCTTTATGTGAGACAGTGACAAAGCTATTCACATAGCTTATGGAAGGTTGATAGTGCTACACTGGTACCTGTTTGTGCCTTAAGTAATGTATGATTAAGAATCTGATGGTTTTGTCAAGTTTGTAACCACTGAGGTGGTTTTGTCTAGTCTGTAACCACTGAGGTGGTTTTGTCAAGTCTGTAACCACTGAGGTGGTTTTGTCAAGTCTGTAACCACTGAGGTTAGCCAAAATCTCTTCCCTGTTTCAGAGACATATGTCCTAAACTGCGCTGTAAAACCAAGACACACAAAAAAGGAGAACAAAATGTTACCTTCTCACCTTAAGATATGACTTAAATCAATCAACTTGAAACAATCAAACCAAACAATCAATCTCCAATTCTTTATGAAGATTTGATGATAGTATCAGGAATATTGACCTGGATACTAAAATAGAGAAAAATTGAATCCCTTAAGAATGTCCAAAACAACAAAATTAATTATGTTGCCTGCCCTGTTCATGGCTGGTAATGGAAAGTGCAAGATAGATACCATCCACACCCTCTAGCACCGGCTTAAGCAAAATTCAACATTTAAACATGAAAACGATGAAATTTTGAATTTAGGAACATCTGCATATGTGTTCATATTGTGGTAATGACAAGCTTGACCAACTTTATAACAGCTGTTAGTGGATAGAATAGCCAATATTCTACCAAGATTATATTGAGCCTGGTCTGGTCCAGCTGTATATAGATTCGAGATGTTAAAACCAGTATACAATTAGTTAATTCCATTCATCTGTCATTGTAGAAGCATTCATATAAGTTAGTTACTTACAAAAGATCAAGGATTTTCCTACAGTATAAGTACAAAATTTCTTTAGTACTCATTTAATATAACTAGCATTTATTTGATGTTTGTGGAAACAAGTGACCTATTTTATCGGTATGTCAAATTTAGAGTATTTTCTTATATAACATACATGAACTGCTGATATTTTTGTGATAGATTAACATTACATTTATATATATTGCAGACTTACTTTGGTAGTGAATATAGTGGACCAGGAAAGACACCTTTAGAGCTGCTTGTAGATTTTTACATAGAGCTTACCAGTCTTCATAGTCATGAACCATGGTATACCAATTAACACATTCTTAATAAAGCTTGGTATACCAATTTACTCACTCTAAATAAAGCTTGGTATACCAATTTACTCACTCTTAATGAACCATGATATACCAATTTACTCACTCTTAATGAACCATGATATACCAATTTACTCACTCTTAATGAACCATGATATACCAATTTACTCACTCTTAATGAACCATGATATACCAATTTACTCACTCTTAATGAACCATGGTATACCAATTAACACATTCTTAATGAAGCTTGGTGTACCAATTTACTCACTCTTAATAAAGTTTGGTATACAAATTTACTCAATCTTAATGAACCATGGTATACCAATTTACTCAATCTTAATGAACCATGATATACCAATTTACTCACTCTTAATGAAGCTTGGTTGTCGTTTTCATCAATTTTGCCATCCATAGCTTAAAAATGTCAGTTTTACATGAAATATGTATACAAAGGGCTAGGTACGTTTTGGGTCGATTTTGGCCCAAAATTTTGAGGAAATTAAATATTGAATATAAATGAATCATTTCATGTCAATTAACAAAGCAACATATATGCAAGTAAAACCTGACGTTCTTTTGTATCGCGGCAACGTTGATGACGTCACGGATGACGTCAATTGTCCTCTATTTCGGACAAAATTCGCAAAAATGGGTAAATTTTGGTGTTCTTCTACAAATATCAGGTTAACGCATTTTTTAACCGCTTAGGTTTTTACATTTTATATTACCATAAAATATTAGCTTTAAATTTATCACCTACTATTTTGCGGTTACTGCTTGCGCACTTCTGTTAATTACCCAAAGTTTACACTCCGTCAGTCTGCTGTTTACATACTGGCAAAATGGCGACGGAGGAGGG